ACGAGGAAAGAAGTAGGGTATGCTTCTTTTTATCTGGTGATTATCTTGTGATATATATGTGTATAAGAATAGTTGTGTATATATATTCATCTCTAATACTTTTTAATACATTCAAACAACATACCATCAGTTCACTTTCTTACTTTTTTTTTTCTACAAAAGAATGATTTAATCGCTTTTTCTTTCTAAAGTGTTTTAATTTTGAAAAAAAGATGAAGTACTATAAGTGTAGTGTTTGACTATGTCTCACTCACTCCCTCTCCCTCTCTAATTCAAACTAGTCCTTATATTCTGTTTTTAAAAATATTTTGATTTTATAACACGAATACAGAATGGCACATTATTGCACCTGATATTACCACTTTTTTTGTCTTTGTATGAACTTTTTCTTTCTTTACTTTTCTCTGTTTGAAATCATAATCACATGGTTTCGAGAAGAGAATACAAAAAAATGAGTGAAAGAATGCTGATGTGGATTGGATCGTTTGTATGTATGTATGTGTGTGTGTGTGTGTGTATGAAAGCAAGTAATGTAGTAGTAATCAAGTGAAAAATGGATAACTAAACTGACCCCTCAAATAAAATTTTTGCGAATAAATTGTAACTACTTACAAATTTACAACTAGTATAAAATTATTACAAATATTCTCCCTTTATAAAAGCAGTAAGAAGACTTAATTTGTCTGAATCGTGTGAAATGTGTATTTACGCAACACACTTCGAAACAATCTGGTCACACACTCACCGACTTGTCATAGGAATATACATATTTGAAATTAATAAATAGTTAAGAGGTGGGAAAATAAACTCAGAAAAGGCCTCCATATTGAAAGTCAAAATAATAATGAAGATTACTAAGTAGCACTAAGTAGCACAAAAAAAGACCTAAACGACGAGATAAAACAGATAGAAGAAGCGTTGGTGTTGAATAATTATCCTTTAAAATTCATTAGGAAGATAACTAAAGGCCAGAAACAAAATAAAAATAATTGTGGAACTAGTAATGATAACATAAATAAGAGAGAATATAAGTCATCCACTGTTATACCATATAAGGAGGGGACATCTGAGACCCTACGTAGGATTCTGAATAAAGCAGGAATTAGAGTGGCATTTAAACCTACAAACTCACTCAGGGACAATCTGTGTAAGTTAAAGGACCCAGTGGACCCAATTAGACAAAATAATATAATTTACAAAATACCCTGCAATGACTGTGAGGTCAACTACATAGGTCAAACTAGTAGGTCAGGGGTAGTCAGATTGTCAGAACATAAGAATTTAGCTAAGGTAAGAATGGTTGACCTCGAGAAGATAAGTAATTTAGAAAAAAGCCCAGCAATTGCAATGCATGCATTAGCACACAACCACACAATAGGGTGGGATAGGGTTAAAATTCTAAAAAGTAATCTAGGTAGGTGGAGAGAGAGGTTGATTACTGAATCTTTGTTCATCGAATCTACACCCAACACATGCAATAGGAATGAATCATCACTCATACCTGAAATATGGAAAATAATACTACCAATCAAATCAAGTGAAAATCAAGTGAAAAACAATGGAACTATATAAATGAACTTAGGAAGTCGTGTGATTAACTTGATATGATTATGAGCAATAAATTGTGCTCGAAACGTCATCAGTAAATATTACTGTATAACACTGTGAGACTCTATCAAAATAAAATTTACCCATAATGGAAGATCACTAAAGCAAATTAGAGAGGTAATAGTCTATCTACCTTGACTGGTATCAAAATAAAGTTTTCCAAGAGAAGTTTAGTATAATGATGACGAATTGGTTTCGAACGCATAAAGGTGGTTTAAACTTCCTGACTGCTAGCTGGGTCTTCCAAAAACTTTAGGATACGTCCTCCCCCAAACACATATTATGGATAGGTTTATAAGATGTGTAAACATCAATATTATGTCCTGTCTCTATTGTATGTTTCGCAATGGAGGAGCTAGGTCATCATTTGTTCTCACCATTAATGGGTTCTTGGGATTCTATCTGCCTGCTCTGAAGCCAGGCCTTACTTGCAGAGATCGATTGGTAGGCACTCCCTATGTATGTGTGTCCACACGGACATACAAATTGGTAAATACAGTGGGATGTGACGTCATTTTTTGTATGTTCGAAGGGCTTAGATGGTGAATATATTGGCTTCACATTCTCAATTATTATGATATTAGCTGCATAAAAAGTCTTTTTAACCACACCAGCGTTCAATCTTTGTCTAGTTATCTAGCTGTTGTGATGCCCCATATAAGGTAGCTTGATGTACCCGTCTTTCTTAGGGGCGGGTTGGAGGGTGGGTCTTGGTGTTCTGAGTACTTTATATCTCCTGATGAACTTGTCTGGATAATTATTATCAACCAGAGTTTTTGTGTCACATTTCTTTCTTCCTTATCGTCAAGTGTGTCTTCAGTGCATATTTGTTGGATTCTACTGAAGAGGCACCTCGCTCACTACGGCTCTTTCGCACCGAGCATGGCAGAAACTGTGTGGTAGTTAAGATACTGTTCTATCTAGGTAGGTTTTCTATAACTAGATCGTTTTCTTGATCCATCAATCGGTCGACTAAGCAATACATATTGGAAAGATAAACAATTATCTTCCTCGTCTACAGACCTTAGTGATATGCTATTCTGAACTTCATTCATTCGATTTATAATTAAGGTGGCAGAATAAGGCTAATCAATTATGATTACAGTGTCGTCTACACACCTTCTGTAAAGTGCCACATTTTCAATTAAATCCTCCGGTAAACTCTCAATGTTCGACAAATGGATATCTGGTAAACCTTCCTTGGCAAACTTTGTTTTGGTACCAGTCACGGTAGATGGACTGTTACCTCTCTCTTATTTGCATTAGTGATCTTTATTGTTACTTTGACCTTCAATATGAAGGCCTTTTAACTTACCTTTGTGGTATATTTCCTCACCTCTTAACTCTTTACTAACTTCTCATATATATACAGTGATATGACAAGTCAGTGTGTGTAATCAGGTTGTTTCTGAAGTGTGTTGAGCAAATACACATTCCTGCATCTCCTACAAATTACGTCTTCTTATTGCTTTGTCTAAATTATTATTTTTCTTTTAAGAAGTTTGATCAAATATTGATATTAATTGGAGAACCACTGAAAAAAATCAACTCTCTAAAAAACCGACAGTTCATAATTAATTTGATGCTCGCTTTTGTCCGGCTAAGGGTCGAATTTGCTTGATTTCCTAGTGAGAAGTCGTGATTAGTGGGATCCACTAGGTGGTCGCGTGTGAGGATAAATATTTGAGGATGACACTGGTTGGGTGTCACGTTAAAACTAATTATTGGTAGAAGTTGGAATTCATATGCTGGCCACTGAATCAGGTCCTAGTGATTGAATGGTCTAGGAGCTTGCCTTGTGACCGGAATACTGCGTACTACTTCGGATTTGCAAACTGGGATAAAACGGCTCTCCACAACTCCCTGATTTTTTATAGTTCTGTGACTAAAATCAATCCGTGATCAAAAATGAAAAGAACCAAATCCATACAAACTAAATCTTGAATAATAAATCCAGTTTCCAATGGAAAATATGCTGCAACTTCACCCTCACCTGGATGGTTTCAACTGATTCTCTTCTCTAGGCTGGATCGAATTGGGCACATCGATGATGAGGTCAACTCCAAACGAGTAAAACGACTATTCCATGTTTAGGTCGCTTCAGTCTGGCTACCAGGCACTGCTGGTTTGTGTGTATATGTCTGTGTGTGGTACACGACTACTCATCTCAAGGAGTCGTTTTCCGGTGCTGCAGATGTCTACAGTGATTTTATCTGACTTCAGCAATGCGTGACACTGGGCTAGAATCTCAGAGGGAAAATGAGTTCCTTCAAGACTGCAGATACGCCTTGCTGACTGGTGGTGAGTGTCAAATAGTGGTGCAATAAGGAGTGCGATAATTGAACACCTGATTAACACTGATCATTCCATTTCAACAAATGCCTCCTGCTTCAAAGTAAGCTACAGAGTCAAGAATAACCTATCAAAAAGGCAATGCGGTTTCGTCTTCTTTGTATCGCTGAAACTCTGGCCATTCACATAGAAAAACTGGAGTTGTGCATACAAAAGAGAATTACTCAACCACTTCTACTGTCATGGTAACAACTTTTTTGATTTTTGATGACTTAATTTTGTCTGTTTGCCTGTTTTTTTAATTGCTTATAATTCTTGTATTCATTTAGAACTCTTACGTAATTTCGTATTATCTACTTTGTTCCTATGTGCATCCTGAGTAAAATTCACTCATCAAACTATTCATATTATTACATAACTTCTTTTTTAACAACTGTTTGTGACAACTCATCACCTTTGTTACTACCCTAATTTCATTAACACCTAATTTTCTTGACTGATTTTGTATTACGTAACTCCAATTACCAATCTTCACCTATTTAGTTAAAATAACCATAACCAATTGTATTTTTGTTTGACAAACTTAATGTACACACACATACAAAACAACCATATATATTTGCGATTGTACAGCTATGAAAATGAATTCGCTGGCGAAAAGAGACTCTTCGCTGAACTACGTGTTTTGTTTTCATTAGTGTCAAAAATCGCAACACTCAGGTCCCAGACTTCCTTCTGACAACCTTTAGCCATCTAACAACAATTCTGAGTGTATCGTGATGGTGAGCCACCTAGTGGCATGGTGGCCACATTGCAAACTTGACTGATAGAATTCAGTCTACACCAAACAAAGAAGTAGACAAACTACACTACTTACTAACTAGTGTCCAATCAAAATAAACCTAATTTAATAACCTGTTCTCGGCCCAAAAAATCAGAGGGTACATACCCTATCCCCGAAAAATCAATCCAACTGCTACAAAACCTTCCAAGCATAGGGGAAAAATGTCTTGTTTGGGTGGAATTAATTGCAACGTAGAGATTAGGGTACATGGCATCTACTAGTTATATAAAATTCGATACAATACTGTTCCACCTACCAGTATACTCCTTTGTATACGTAGTCATTCCATCGAATGTTCCTTGAGGTGGTTGGTATTCTGCGTCTCGCTTACAGCTGCCTTGAATGCTCAAAGGATGCTGTACATAATCGGTACTATGAGGAGGAAGAAATAGAAATTGGAATTAGAAATTGACATAACTTCGATAAATCAATTAGATATTCAATTTGATAATCAATAACAAAATGAAGACACTTATCAAGTATTGAGTGGTAAAATGGATATTGGCGACCGCTTCTCAATTGATTCAAGCTGATTGATTGTTTTCGTGCTGAAGGACATTCTATTATCTCTTTGTGGACGTTTCTCAGAAAATCAAGCCATATATCTGTGAATCATATTTCCACACTTTAACTCCACTGTGATTGGCTGGTGATTTTCTCAAGGTTTAGCTTTGTTATTGATTTTCTCATGACCCTGATGCGGGACGTAAATTGTTGTCTACAATTTTCGCTTGCAGACAGCTATCACCACATTACTAGTGTTACACCTAATGATCCCAGTTGCTTAGTTTCATGTTAACATTCCTGACACTTTCGAGTTAAAATCTCGAGGGGGAGCATAGATTCCGATGGAGAAGAACAAGATGTTCAGCAAAGATGATGATCTTTTCGGCGATTTCATTCTCAAGAGCTGTACAATCGCATTTATATAGACAGGGTTTACATGGATACAATTCTTATTTGTTTAATTCCACATAGTAACGAAGGTGATAATAATTTTCAACTTGATATGAAAGTTTGAAGGTACGGATATGGATTACAAGAGGCTTAGAAACAAAAGATTACACAGGATTAGAATACAACTGTAAAATGGTTATTCTAAACGGATTACAAGTGTGATCAGGAGGAGCATGGGAACAAACTTAAAATAACTGATTTTATAACTGAAAAAATAGGATGAATTAAATGAAGGTAAAGAGAGAAAACTACACACACAGATAACAAAACAAAACAAAACTGAAGGATAAGGGAACATACCGAACTAGGTCCATGGTAGTTGTAAAGGTTGGACTAGTTTCTTTTGAATTAGACTGTGTAGTCGAGGGATAATGGATAATTTTCTCTCTTTACCTTCATTTAATTCATCCTATTTTTTCAGTTATAAAATCAGTTATTTTAAGTTTGTTCCTATGCTCCTCCTGATCACAGTTGTAATCCGTTTAGAATAACCATTTTACAATTATATTCTTATCCTGTGTAGTTTTTTGTTTCTATGCCTCTAAGTAATCTATATTCACACCTCCTAACTTACATTTCAAGTTGAAAATTTTGATCTCAATTCGTTTCCATGCTCATTTTGCTCACACCTGTAATTCGTTCTAAGCCTCTTGTAATTCATATCAAGTTGAAAACAATTATCACCTTTTATTCCCCTTTAAAATTATTTCTGCAGTTATCAAATATTAATTTTGCATACGTTGTAACTGTTATCTAATCCTATGCAATCTTGCCTCTAACCCCCTTGTAATATATATTCGTACCTTCAAACTTTCATATCAAGTTGAAAATTATTATCACCTTCGTTACTATGTGGAATTAAACAAATAAGAATTGTATCCATGTAAACCTTGTCTATATAAATGCGATTGTGCAGCTCTTGAGAATGAAATCGCCGAAAAGATCATCATCTTTGCTGAACTTATTGTTCTTCTCGATCTAATGTTCCAATGGGTATTTTCCACGATTTGAAAAAGAAAAGAGCATAGATTCCCTCAGAACTATATATTTACAACTTGGTGATTTGCACAGTAACCCAGGCTCAGATCCCATTTCAGAATGACTTCTTTTGATACCTAACCATATAACAGCATTGTGCTAGTAAGTTTTCTCACACAACTATACACGGGACTGCAGATTTCAGTCAAAATCTAGAAGTGACAGACATACTTTTATTTTGTATATTTCAGCAATAAAATGTGATAGATTTCCTGTAGATAAGAAAGTATCTTGAATTAAAAAGAGGTATACTCAGAAAACTGACGTAAATATTCGAAAGTCTTTCTCTCGGAGTGAAATAAAGAATACCAGAAGGTTAACTCTTACGTCAGATACTATTTCATGTTAAAACATCGCATTTTTAGGATTAATCAAGTAAATTTTAATTAATTATGTGATCACTTCAGACGCTTCTCACATCTGAGTAGAAATTCAACCACAATTCATAGAGTTTCAGTTAAAAATTGTCTAGTCAGGATGAAGAATAACTCTCTACAATTCACTCTTATGAGCCTGGTTTTTGTGAATAAATTATTGTTAAATTATTTTAATAATAATTTTTAACTACTCACGAGTAGTATGTATTTTTGCCGATATTATTCCTGAAAATGTCTCTTAGTCCCCTTCACTAGAATTTCCACTGACACTAGCAAGTGGATCCGCGAAAAAGCATCGAAGCTTCATTGTTAATAATTTGGTGGATGGTGACTAGCAATGGAATCCAGGATGCTTATTTCACCCTATTTGGAACTCATCGTCGGCTGCATTCTCCAGTCAGTGATAGTATTCGGACTGAGGTTCGAACCAAGTATGCATCCCTGGGGAATCCCACTGCAAGTCACTACTCACCACATTACCTTACTTTAAATCCTGAGATATAGTCGAAGCATCTGTACAAGAAGCCGACATGTCAACAGAGGTGGAGCATTTTGGTCCAACCAATCAACAGAAAAGTCCAAATTGAATTAAATAATAACTTCTTTAGAACAACACATTCAAGCGAACAGTATTGTCGTTTTCAATTAGATCTCATCAGGCTTAACTCGAATATGCCTACATAACTTTACAAATCAATATTCAAATATAAACCAATCATGGTGTTTTGTCTATAGGGTAATAAGATGGTGAATATAAAGAGACATATGAAAGCATCAGAGAGAAAACTCGAGACTCTGACTGCACGTAAGAAAACCTCTATTTATTAAGCTAAGATTTAGTGGTGACTTATCAAGTGAGATTTTATTCCAAAGACTTTCAAGGAGTATACGAAGAACCTTTTACGCAGCAAACCTATGTTTGTCATTCTCTTGCCGACAAATGATTGGGATGCAAACGAAGGATAAGCTAGATAGTTTTACCACATCCATATGTACGTATCGATTCAACTGCACCTGTGGTGACATTTATGTTGGGTGTACTACTTGACAGCTTAGCCAACGTGTTAGTGAACATCTTTCATCGTGGCGGTTTGGCGAAGAACAGACAAAAACAATCCGTAGCTCAATTTTGTCACATTTACTTGATAGTGGTCATGTAGTGGAGAAAACGAGAGCTTCCAAGGCAATTCATCGTATCTCGACGAATCTTTCCAATAGACTTCGTATTCGTCTACTGTACACAGCTGAGGCGACAGGCATTCGAACTGTTAAACCAAAACTATGCATTAAAAAGAAGTTCGTACAGCCTTTATCCCTCCCTTGTTGGCCTGTTAAAACCTAACCAACTGATGACTTCTCCACCACAATACCTTACTTATATTTTCAACCCCTTTCTTATCATCCCTTAATCTTATCACATCTTCATTATAAACGTGTTTCATTTACTTCCTTTACAATCAGTCTAACATTACTTAATCGGTTCATTTGTTTTTCTCAGCCTTTATCGACTACTATGTCTACCTGAACATTTGTTTGTTTAATCATGCTGTTTTTCATCATTCGTGTTATCACAGATTGCCTCACTTTTTCATCCTTATTATTGATAAGACCATTTTTATTATTACTATTATTATGATTATAATTATCATTACTACTATTATGACTAATTGCACAATTTACATTCACCATCTTATTATCCTATTGACAAAACACCATGATTCTTTTACATTTGAATATTGATTTATAAAGTTATGTAGGCATATTAGAGTTAAGCCTGATGAGATCTAATTGAAACCACAATACTGTTCGCTTGAATGTGTTGTTCTAAATAACTTTTTTGGTAATGTATGATTTAGGTAGATTATTAAATAGAATACCGTTATTATTATTATTATTCATAGTGGAAAATAGAGCTTCAACAGCACATCTCGATTCCATCCCGTCCTATCTAGCCCTTTTTAGTTCTCTGTATGGTCGTCTATAGGCACCCATTTCCTTTTCACACTATCTCCTCTGTGTCACCCATAGACCATATCCAGCACTTTGTTCCCCATGATAATGATGTCTAATTTTAAAGTAACTGCATTTACCAGACCAAGCTGAAAAAGACTAAGACCTTTCGAAATCATTGACTGCTGAAACAATAAAATTTAAAATCTCGAGGTGCTTGGACAGTGGTTGGTGCTCAGTCTTATGCAACCCATCAGATTAGTTATCTAGGACCTAACTTCGTAAGCATATGTATGTACCCAGATTGCTCAGAAAATATGCTAAAGAAAGTGGAGATGGATTGGGCACACGCTGAGGAGACCATTGGATTACATCGTACACCAGTCAAGCACTCGAGTGGAACCCAAGTGCAAAGCGACAAGTTGAGCATTCGAGGATGACATGGAGGAGATGAAAGCCTATTGGCAGTCGTGCAGTCAGCCGAAGAGGACTACAGAGAATAGGATGAAATGGAAACGCCCCGCTGAGGCGCTATCTTCCGCTTGGAATCCAAAGGGATGATGATAAAAATAAAAATAACATAATGTCCATATCTGTACTAAAGTTGATTGTCTCACTAGGTTGAACAATTCTACCTTCTGTTTCTCACTGCGTGGGTTCTGGTTGTCAAAAGCAATTGGTAATCAGTATTTGTTATTTCGTCTTTACACGAGTTATACTCAGCATTACTGTTATTAGTGTCACTATCAGTATCCCTATCCTTCATATCAAGTATATTAGTCATCATGATGAACATTTATCTGATGGAGGATTTCATCATGAGCTGACATCATTTAGAGAACCATTGAAAAACCTTCAGGGAGTACTGGACAGCTGTTTCCTCCTTCCCAGTTTGGGACTATTCATATGTACGCACCCACCCCATTGGGGTTCGAACCCACGACCTTCTGGTTACAAGACGAGCTCGTAGACCATTGGGCCACTGGGACTCGGTCCAGTGGCTCATGAATTCTAACTTCTGCCTCCAACCAATCAAACAAAATACCTAAAGAAACCAATACTTGAAAATTCATCTGATGCTCACTAGCTACTGGCCCTATTCAGGCAGTGAACTGTGGTTCTAGTGGGAAACTGTGACCAGTAGGGTACAGAAGGTTGAAGATAAGGCAGTAACTCATCACCGAAGAAGACATTGTGAAATGGTCACGCTATGTCATGAATTGACAGAAGTTAGAATCCATGGGCCGTTGGATCAGGTCCCAGTGGCTCAATGGTCTACGAGCTCGCCTTGTAACCAGAAGGTCCTGGGTTCGAACCCCGGTGGGTGGGTATGTACTGTGAAGAGTCCAAAATTAGGACGAAACAGCTGTGCAGTGCTCACAGGTTTTTACAGTGGTTCTTTAACTGATGTCAGCCCATGAAGAAATCCTCCATCCAATCAAATAATATCCCTACAAAACCAATACTTGAAAACTATAGTACTTGTTTTGTATTTAGAAAACTGTATTGCCTGTGTAGCTGTCTCACGATACTGTTGAGGTAAATTTTAGTTACAAAAATATTAAAGGGTAATCGTCTTCTCCTTGCGTTTAGGATGTTTCATGGCAGCACGTGTTTTAATGTAGTTTTGTCGGGTATGCAGTAGAACGTAGAGGTCGGTTTTCTCGCGTTCAGACCATAACCAAATAAATTTAGTCGTTACAACCTTGTCATTTATTTTCTTGCTGTTGAATGTAGATTCGCTTTCCTTTCACTCCTATTTGTTCATCTTTTTGATGTAAATATAATATCAGCCCATCATCAAACTTGAAACCATTCGAATCCTTATAAACCAACTCTTGAAAATTGATCTGATGCTAACGAGTGACTGACTACACGATGAGTTTGACTGCAGTCCTAGTGAAAATTCGTAAACGTGGGGGGCCACTAGGTAGTCGGGGGTGAAGAGAAATATTCACTGGCGGTACTGCTTGACGATGATACTAAAAACTGCGAGTTGGTAGAAGATGGAACTAATGGGCTGTTGAACTCTGTCTCAGTAGCTGAATGGTCTGGGTACTTGCTTTTTAACAGGTCTAGAGTTCTATCCCTTGATGTGGAGTTATTGGCTGGTACTGCTGAACAACTATCCAGTGCTCCCTAGTGGTTTTTAATATCCCTACAAACTCTGATGATCACTAGCTACTGACCCTATTCAGGCAGTTAACCTGGCGTTCTAGTGAGAAGTCATTACCAGTAGGGTGCAGTAGGTTGAAGGTGAGGCAGTAACTCATCACTGAAGAAGACATTGGAAAGTGGTTGCGTTATGCCATGAATTGGCAGAAGTTAGAATTCATAGGCCTAATGGTTTACGAACTCGCTAGTCTTGTAAGTGGAAAGTCGTGGGTCCGAACCTTGGCGGTGGATGGGTGCATACTGCTGAAGAGTCCCGAATTAGGACTCCCAGATTTTCCAGTGGTTCTCTAACCGATGTCAGCTCATGACGAAATCCTCCAACTAATATTATAATACACAGAAAGATATAGTTGACAACAAAAGACAGTCCATATGTATACACTTACCGATGTGTTGTGTTTGATGACATTTGACCTTCGCCTTGTACACCTTTATGCGGTGGTTTACATGACTCAACAGGTACAAGTTTATGCTGAATATACTTCGTGGTATATTCTGATATTCCACATGGTTTGCTTGCATCACTTCTACTTCTTTGATGTGGACATTTATGTCGACTGAAATGGAATGCGTTGGAAAAAAAACAAACAACATAAACCAAAGTTAGATTATAACAAGGAATAGTAAAAAATGGTACCGTTCGAGTGAAATTTAAAAACCTGAAATTCTCAAAAACTTTGAAATGCTTCAACAAGGGGGGGGGGTTGTTTTCGAAATCCGGAACCAATTTTTACCCACTATCCTACTAGAATCTTCAGGTTACATGCGGAACCTGTAGTTATTCAGTGGATAGAATCAGACATCCGTCCACTGCAATCCGATTTTTAATAGGCACTTCAGTGATATCGATATCTGATCAAGCCTGCAGTAGTGTGTTATCTTGTAAGCTTAAAAGTTCAGTGAATACTTCTCTCTTCTAAGTTTAGTTTATGTCAAAATTATAACGAAAAACAAGAGTTGAACAAAGCAGCAACAACAACGGATACCATATTTTTTCGTTTTTATTCCTTTACGTTACCCAAGTGGAACATAAGGCTGCAAGCTAGAGGCTTGAAGTTTAGGTAACAGTGATGTTTGTTTTTACAGGATGGGGTTGCTAGCCTCATACACAACCCAGCCTTCTCTCTTCAGCAGTCACATTAGTGGCTTAGCGAGGTAGTGGTGGAGTGCGTTGGCAGCCGGGGATCGAACCCTGAACCAAATGCGAAGTTAGCGAGCATTCTACCGCTGTGCCACCGGCGCAGCAACAACGGTACCAGGTTAAAATAAGCTCATATTTTAATATTTCGAGGATTTTTCTCAAATGGCCACGTAATACCTGAACAAAACAAAAATATTTATAAATTAAATTAAAGATTTGAACATCCTTTTTCCCCAATTACAAGGAGTAACTGGTAGGAACTAAGCATAACATTAGTCGGGAATAATGTAAGTTGTTGAGTAATTAGGAGTGAAATGGACTGAGTATTTATGAGAAATTCAAAGGAAAATACCCATTCAGACATGAATATAAGAACAAAAAAGTTCAGCGAAGAGTCTGTTTTCGGCAGTGAATTCATTCACTTAGCTGTACAATCGCATTTATATATAATTATTTTGTGTTTGTGTGTGTACATTATGACTGTCAAACAAAAATAAAATAAAAATTATTTGGGGTTACTGTTTACGTCACCAAATGTGATGAATAATCAAAATTGTAACTACGGGGGAGGGTGAAGATTGGTAAGTGCTGACAATGGTTGTGTAATATGGAATAGGACGTTAATAGAGAAACGTATCCATAAAATGAATTATGTAATAGGTAGAAAGAGTAAATAAAGGGTTCATTATAATAAAGGTTTTTGTATTAGATTTTTAGAGTTTTCTTCAAAGCATCAGACACACTTCAAAGCAACCTTGTCCATATAAAAGACCAAATCCCTAAAGATTCTCTATCTAATTGTGTCTATAAAATAAAATGCTTGCAATGTCATGTGATATACATCGGACGAACATCTCGAGAAATCAAAATCAGAAGAAATGAACACCGTAGAGCATTTCTTCGACCACCGAGAAATCCGGTTGTTCTGCAAAAACTTGAAAAATCATCAGCTATAGAATCAGGCCACAGAATTGATTTTGACAATATTGAAATAATCCAGGAAAACTTGAAAAATCACAAAGAACGTCTAATATCAGAAGCCAGACATTCATATCTAATGGAATCCCAGTTGTCTGATGAATAGGAATGATGGACTAAAACAGAATCTGACCTGGTTACAACACCTCCCTCCCTCCATCGTGAAATGACAAAATCAACACGAATGTGATATGCAAGTTCACTATGTAAACGCACACTGAATTTATAATTTTAAACACTGATCAAATCCAACAATCTACACTTGATTTTGTTATCTTTACCAATTGACCAACTTGACAACAACAAAAAATGATCCCATACTGACGAACGATGATCAAGTTAGTAAACTTTGTTTTGATATCATAACAGATGTACTATTACCTTCGTTATTTGGTTTAGTGATCTTCATTGGTATTTTGACTTTCAATATGTCCCTTTAACTTGACCTAAGTCTATTTTCTCACCCCTTAACTCTTTGTTATTTACATGCTGAGATTTTGTAAATTTCAGTTTAATAATACTTTGATAAAGCTATTAGCATTAAATAGCGAAACGTCAGTAAAAACAAAATCGTTTTGTTTTTCAAACCGTTAAAAGTGAGCTTTGTTTGGACATGTATAAATAAAGGGTTGGTTAAGAAGAAGATGTTACTAAGATGCCATGCAAAAATTAAAAAAAACATTATTGACAAAGTTGTAGAACTTCGAGTTACACGCAACGTAGAAGGAGGGGGTGGAGAAGTTTCTTCTGTGTGCATAAATTAAGGTTTTCTATCCGGAACGCTAAGACCTCAGCAATGCAAAATATACGGAAACTTACCGTTTTCGGGAGGCTTCTTCCTAATGTACACACAAACACACAAAATAATTATATATGAATGCGATTGTACAGCTAAGTAAATGAATTCGCCGCTGAAAAGAGACTCTTTGCTGAACTTTGTTGTTCTTATATTTATACGAAAATTAGACGAATATGCTTGGAAACGAAAGGGCAGAGTTCAACAGATTTTCGAGAGGTAGAAACGAAGTTTAATTAGAAAGATTAAAACAAGTGATGCGTTGCGTAAGCAGAGAAAATATGTTTTTATAAAATAGTCAAAGAAAAGAGAAGAGGGGGGGGGGGTAGGGTGAGTCATGTTTAGACGAAGAATAAAATTTCCCAAACAGGACAGAAAGTGACGTGGTGAAATTCGTGTACTTTGTCATCACCAAGGCAGTGCAAGCACTCACTACTGTCTCTTTCTGAAAATATAGATTTGGTTTTAAACGTTTGTTGGCGATTGCTTCAGAAAAACGTAGCAAGCTGCTGATTATTTCGTATGCCTTCAGACTATCAACAACATGGCCAGTGTCCAGTAGATGGCACGCAGTCGTACAGTTTAATGACTGTGAGCCTTTTAGTCTCAGTTTCTTTTGGTATATGTTCAGAAATGAGGACAATAACCCTTCTCTCTGTTCTTCCAATGTATTTGCTTTGGCCCATACATGTAAATTGATTGACACAGTCGGAGGTAACATAAGGTGGGAGTTTGTCGACTTTTGACTGTCTTGACGAGGTATTTCAGTGACACATTCGTCATTTGTGTTTGTTTTGTTTTGGTGATTCATCTCAAATGTTATTATAAATATCAATTAATAACAATATTACAAATAGGGCAGAAATTCTCCGTGAGTGACTTTCAAAATCTCCCCATAAAACATACTTTACTGCCAGCCTATAAGTAACATAGCTCAAAGATCAACGAGTTGATCCCTATTAGATGATCTTCCCAGCTGTTAATAGATTAAAAACAAACTCCGGAAGAGTAGGAAAAGTTATACATTCACACGACAGGATTATGTCAACTAGTACTTTATAACGTTGACCGCGAAGTAATTTGGAAACTACTCAAGTACTACGGCGTACCACAAATATTCATCAACCTTATTCAGCAGCTGTACGACAACGGCACATGTCAAGTGATCCACAACGGAAAACTCAGCGAAGCGTTTGGAGTAAACACAGGAGTCAGACAAGGGTGCTTGTTATCACCAACGATATTCCTAATTGTGGTGGACTGGATTATGCGTCAGACAGTGTGAAACGAGAAGACAGGGATATCCTGGACCAACTTGAAGAACCTAGAAGACCTGGATTTCGCAGATGATTTATGTTTGATGTCACACAAAATCGAAGACTTACAAGCGAAAACCGACAAACTGGTCGAAGAAGCAGCCAGAGAAGACAGGACTCCAGGTGAACATAGACAAGACGGACGTTATGAAAATAACCAACCAACAACAACAACAGCAGCAACATCCAGAGCCAATCACCATCAACGGGAGGGATTTGAAAGAGGTTACTTCATTCACTTATCTAGGGAGCATTGTCTCAACTACAGGAGGAACGTACGAGGATGTCAAATCGAGAATCGGGAAGGTGAGAAACACATTCATCAACCTGAAATCAATCTGGAAATATTCGTCAACCAGCATCAACAACAAAATTCGGATTTTCAATACAAACGTCAAGTCAGTTTTACTATACGGATCAGAAACTTGGTGGGTCACAAAGAATATTTCCAACAGGTTGAAGACCTTCATCAACAGCTGTCTTCGTTCTATACCCAAGATCAGATGGCCGGAAAGAATCACCAACAAGAAACTATGGGAAGAAACAAAACAAGAACCGATCGCCCAACAAATATGCAGGAGAAAGTGGAGATGGATTGGACACTCGCTGAGGCGGCCGCTGGGTGACATCGCGCGTCAGGCCAGTGCTGGAATGGAACCCGAAGGGAAGCGTCGAGTGGGACGTGCAAGGGTGACATGGAGGAGATCGTGTGAAGAGGAGTGGAAACAGTATGGACTAACATGGATGCAAGTGAAAAGTACAGCAGAAGACAGAAGCAAGTGGAGGCGTGTAGTTGAAGCCCTATTTTCCACTAGGAACCCAAGGGAACAATAATAATAATAATAATACTTTATAACGTGCGTCGGTGGCATATCGGTTAAGAGGCTCGCCGACCATGCACATGGTCCGGGGTTCGACGCCCTGCTGACGCACACCTGATATCAATGGTTGGCCTGCAAAATTTGGGCTACCGATATCATATGCTGAAACATGTAATGTGTATTTGCACAACACATTTTGAACATTCTTACCACACACATATATGCACCTACTTGTCATATACATTATTATCCTTATTATTATTCCCCTGAGTTCTGAGCGGGCTCATCTCCATTTCACTGAGTTCCCTGCAGTGTTTTTCTCATCTATTTCATGCCACCCCTGGACCAACGCCCAACTTGTCGTTTTCCGATCGCATTCCACTCGAAAGTCTGTCTACCGTGTGATGTCACTTAACGGTCTCCTCCTTTCCATTTCCCTCGGCATATTCTTCAGGAAGTAGTTTGTCTGTTGGTTCGGTGCCACAGTTTCTCAGGGAACCGTTAA